TGTAAATATTAGAAATTGTCTGATTGAATGGACTGAATAACATGCAGATTTAATCATTGTGTTTTGAGTTATATTTTATATGCACACATAATCTGACAAAATTATTCTCCATTTTAACAAAGTCTGGCATTTATCACTATTGCCAAAATGAATGTCTTGGGTAAAACAAATAGGCATCAACTTAAGCTGTATACTGTGTTTTGTGCTAATGAGCAAATGTTAGCGTGTTTACATGCTAAAGTAAAATGATAAACAGGGTTAACATTACCTGCCAACATGTCAGCATTGCCACAATCTACTGTAACTGCCTGGTTGTGGATGAAATCCCAACATATCCATTCTGATACCCGTGAGTGTTTGCTTTTTAGCAAATAACATACTCACAATTTCTGTTCAGCTTCAAGTGGCTGTCTGAAAAGGGACTCAAACATTTCTGAAGGACAGTGCATGATGAAATGCCCTGTGAATAAAACACTGGTGATTCAAGGAGGCCTTACTTTTGCTACAATTACATGAAGAATGGCCTTCCGTCTTAAACCCAGGGACTTTGCTATGCTACACAAAACAATATCAGGACAAGATGTAGTTTTCACAAGGGGCAGCCAATTTTCTTGTACAGTTTTTATTTTATTGTTGTGGTACTTGTGAGCATCATACATCAGGGCCAGCCTTGAATTATCTACAGGGATTGTGTATTACTGGCACAACGGTGGCCCTGACCGACTGTATGAATAAAAATAATTAAGCCTATTCAATCTAGTTCCAATAGCATGGAAATTATGCCACAAATAGCTTAAAAAATTAACATTTCTATATAAGTATTGTCCTGTGCACATCATGTAGCTCTATATGCATTTCATAAAACATTATCACCATCTTCACAGGAAGACTTGATACTCCAGACCTAATACATTGTCCAATATTGAAAGGGTCCATCCTCTGGGAAGCATACATATGATTAGTAAATTACATGGAAATTTGCCCATAATGTTTTTTTTTATTTTTTATTATTATTTTGAGCTTTCTATGCCTTAATTGGTTAGATAACACTAGATAAATTAAATGGAAAGAGGGGAGAGAGGGATGGTAATCAAGATACAACAAAGGACGCAAACCAATAACACTGCGGCTCATGGTCAGTATCCAAAACCCTTGGGCACCAAGTGCAGGATGCAGTAGTGGATATTTATGCTATAAGAGCAAAATGTTTAAGCTGATAAATAGATTAATATTCATCCTCTATGGACCATGAAAAGTTATACAAAATTTCGTACCAATGTTGTTGTCAAGTTATCTTGTTCAGGACCAAAGTTGTGGATGCATTGAATGACAGACAAAAGGGGCAAAAACATATTGTACTGTCTCAGTACAGTAAAAGAACCCTCATACAACAGAAAGATGCAGAACTTTACCTCATACTCATACTCCTCAGTCCTCTCAACCTCAGCTGGGGTATTGGACAGGTACTCTGGACATTCATAAAACTCATGTTCCATGGTGTGGATGGAATGGCAACTTGAGAGAAAAAAGAAGAATTGAAGAGATAATTAAGTTAAAGATCATGAATCAATGGCTTTCTTGAGAGATTAAAAAAACAAAAGTTCCTTACTTAAAAGTTGTATGTGTTACATATCTTAGTAGTTGCAACAAAACTCTGAACAATCAATATAGACATCAACCATTCACCCCCATAAAAACCATGACCTCTGTAAACTGTCACCATGATAACTGCCTCTCCATAATCATTGACCAGGACTGGCAGATTTGTAGTTTTATAGGACAAATTGATTTAATCTGCTGTCCAGCAAAGCCCTATAAATAGCCACAAAATTGACGTAGCGCCAGAATGCCTGCTCTATCAGCCCATTGGCTTTTAATCGCCCAGCAAAAGCTCCCATTAAAGAAAATGAATGTAGCACACAGAAGCAATTATTGCAAGCAGGTTTGGCTCTGCATAATGATATCACAGGGATAAAGTACTTAGCTATGCTGGGGATTTCCACACTATGAACAACTGCTTAATACCTACCATGGAATGAAAGAGAACAACAGAAAAGCTTCAGGGAATCTTTACTTCAATTTGAGAGAAAAAACTATCCCCTGATTCCAGATAACAAAATATAGGGTAGTAATTGTCTACTCAGTGTGTACCATTAACATTCAGCCACCCTTCAGTAGATGGAACTTCTTGCATTGGCTTCAACTTGACAACAAGTGTTTGCCCTCACCTGTCAGACAAAAGGAAGGGACAGATGTCAGGGACGGGTGGAGTAGCAGGCCGAAGTTTCGCCAGTGCCATAATGTGCTCGAAGGTGATGTCCGTTTGCGTGCAAACATCCACCACACACACATCCTGTGGCGTGCTGCTGTGGTTATGTGCAACTGTGGCCGTGGCTCTGGTGGGGGTTCGACGGAGAACCTGGACAACGATGGGGTCTCGCCTGATGGCCTCCACCACTGCCTCCTCATGGTCAACCTTGGAGAAGTCACGCGCATTCACCTGGGGGAAGAGGACACCAAATCACTAGGATACCCTGTCCTCCTTCATGTTGCATGTCATGGTGAAAAGATGCAAACCGTGTTGTGTTGTGAATTCCTTTGTCAGTGACAATAATTACAATATACATGTTCTCTGAAAACTAGTCAGTAGAAGGTGAGAGGAGATCTTAATAAAGACCACAGTGCCTTTTTTTAACCCTCATTTATCCAAGGACAATCTGACATGTATCGAGCAACCACCAGAGACAACCTGTTTCACATTCACACCTTGGAGCCTTAGTACCTTTACATGTCTCCACAGTTAGGCACCAAAGAGCTTCCTGTAAAGCAACTACAAGTTAAGTGCTTTTATAAAGGGCACTCTGGCAGTAATTCTTGATGGAGGGAGCACATTACATATTCTCCCCCCCTTTTTTTACCTATGCAGTACACTTTCCCAGCAGGTTCAGACATTTTAACTGCTGACCAGCTATTCCCAACCTTTAGGCTAAAGCCAAATTTACAGAGACTGTATAATGTACTAGATTGCCGCATTTGCTGAAGGAGAAAAATTATTTAATGAGCTCATTTTATCTCATTCTGTGTTGCACCAATATTCTTCTTCAAATTAATCTAACTCAAATGCATTATTTATTCATTGCATTTCTACCATTAAGCCCATTAGATGCAGAATAATAACAATAATAACAATACTGATTTAAGCAAATGAGCAGCAAAGTGGGGAAGGAGCCGTGGGGGTAGACCTTGCTCCATTGGGAATATCAGTTTTAGCAAGCAGCACCTACTTAATTTGCAAGCTCAGAAAAGGTTTTGCCACAAGGGAATCAGTGGAGAAGAGATGTCATATACTGACAGCTCTCAGTGTGAAAACACCCACACCTATACATTTTCTCTCTCACGCTCATGCAAGTTTAACCCAATTAGTTTAACCTCTGTATGCCAAGTTCATTTTCAGCCTGTCACATCCTGAAATTGATTGTTTGCATTGATTTTGGATGGTGTCAGAGTGTTTGTCAAGGGCTTAAAATGTGGAAGTATATGCCCAATGTCAGCATCATTATTGGGAGAATAACTTCTGGACTATCTCCTATACATTTTAGCCTGGTGTTGGAAGTAGTAGCAACAAATTGGACATCCGGCCGATGATAGTTTTCTTTATGGTATAAGTGGCCCACTGTATACCTTGCATGGGTATGGAAACTAATATACCATTATGTTGGACCCACACATGATAAATTCTACTGCCATCTGCAGCTAGGATGGCAATTAACTCATGACTGCATTGAACCTTTGACATTTCTTGTTACGACATGTTTTTGCCACATAAAGGTTCTCCTCCACACGCATTAACTTCGTTTTATCGTCCCTGAACCTATGTGCATCTCAGAAAAAGTATAGGGAAAGTTCCACAACATTTTTAAGTTGTAATGAGGTCCAGATGGACACATTAATCTCCAATCAGAGGGAATGCTCTGTAAGGCAGGAAGTGATTGTGCGGGTACACCTGCCAGTGTGTTTACCTGCTGTTGTTCCTCTATTCAATCTGCCTGTTGATGAGCTAACTGGGGGCTGATTAATCGCCAGCAGATGTGACAAAGACCGGGGATAATGGCTCAGAACGCGCAGGTTTTATGTGTGTACGTGTTTGTGTGCAACACACATTTTGTACATCATATACACGGAATTTACAAAGCATTAGGGATAATTAAACCACAAAGGAGGAGATAAAGAGAAGCAGACAAGTAAGGGAAGACTTTTAGAACATTGTGACAATTGAGATGTAAATTGGGCAAAAAGGTTTGAAATCACAAACATCGTTACTGTTTTCTTTATGTCTACATACGCTTTAAATAATGAATTACTTCTTATTTGTATTAGTTGTTCTCCATTAGTGGCATAGCAATCCATATTTAAACATTTTCCATACTTTTCCTTGACATATTCCCATTTTCTGATCTCTTTCTTTGCATTTTCCTATTGTTATATTATTATTTACTCTTGCAAAGACTGTTTCCCCATAGTGATTGTAGTTTAATTTAGTCATAGCATGGTGTCTTCCTTTTCTATCTGTATGTATGTATGTATGTATGTATGCAGGTGTGAGTGGGCAAACCCACATGGGAGATACATGCAGTCTATACTGAGACATGTAGGTGTGCGGATTCCATCAATATCAAACAGTAATTCCATTTTGATTACAAGTTCCCTTTCTCATCACTCAACAGCGCTCCTGTGACCAAGCTGACGGAGAAACAATATCAAGTCATTACATCATCTGATATAACCTATGAAAGCTCCCCGAGAACCCTAAAAATAGTCAGAGTTCACGGCAGTCCATAGGGAGGGCTGTAATGAACCAACAATCTAGCACAGCCTTCATATACCTCTCAAGTTAAAGGTTACCATTGCCAATAAAAAATGGTTCCCAGTTGCCCCAAACCAAAGCTTCTTGTCTGTCCAAACACTCTTCCAAAAGGTCAAGGTTCAAAGTGGTGTGCTCCCGTTTGGGAGGAAAGACTATAACGTAGCTTATGTGTGTGTGTTTTTACTTTGTGCGTTCAGGGAGCGCAATGTGTCATCATCGATCTTCAGCCTTTAGTGAAAATGTCATTTGCTTGTTATCTGCCCACTTTGTATGCTTGTTTTTACTCTTTGAGACACCTTCTGTATGTTTTGTGTCCTTTATTTTATCTTTTCTATCTACTGGCCTACAATGACAGAAAGCACTGACTACAGGAACAGTAGGTAACAGGGGGTTAGAAGGGTACCTTTTATTCAATGAAATATTTTAGGCTGTATAAAAATTTTACCAATCTTAGGACCTGATTATTGGACAGTCTTAAGGGTGCAGCGCGAACACAGTATAAGAAACAAAATTAATCCAGCATGTAATACATTTAAGTGAGATTAAGGTTGCTTAACCACATCAAATGATATGAATTAATTGAGTGCATCTCAATTACCAAATAGATGCGTTTTGACTTTGTAGAGAAGAATAATGGTAGACATCCTGAATTCACAGCACTGTATCCTCTCTCCTTTTGTGCTCTGAAAAGTCCAGTGAATTGGTAAAATACGTTTTGATAGGTCACTTCCAGACATAACTCCACACAGACTTTAAAAGTCACACAGATAGTCTCAGCTACCAGCTTATAATGTAACATTTAGCTGCCTGTGATACACCAATTACACACATCATTGACTTTGAGGGGTTACTAGCGGACCATGGTGCGGATATGGCCTACATGTGTTTAAGACGGGGTTGAAAGTAGCACAGTGAAAGCCAATCAGTGTCTGAGGCTTTCAATATGCTCAAGAGAGGGCTTGTGTCAACCTTTAAATGTGTCACCGGGTGTAATCAGTTGGCCACTACGATGGCTAAATGTTGTTTCCACTTTTGAATACAAACAGGAGCGATAAGGAAAGCCAAGAGATAAGACTTTGTTTGTGTGTGTTTATGTGTGTGTGTGTGTGTGTGTGTGTGTGTGTGTGTGTGTGTGTGTGTGTGTGTGTGTGTGTGTGTGTGTGTACATGTGAATGGGTGTGCTTGCTGTGCAGAGATAAGAGCGTGATAGAAACCACTCAACCTCACAGCTAAATCTGACAGATATGGTGTCATTGTGAGCAAATGGAAGCAGACGCACACAAGCCACATACACACACAGTTTAAGCATTACATCAGCTCCCAACAGACTTAAAACAGCTCTACAATGAGGTTGTTTGCATTAACCATGTTTGACTGAATAATGCCAGTATCTCAGACTGAATAGGCTTACAATGGACCACGAAACAACAAGCTGCCGAGGAGGGACCCTCGGCCTATTCAACACAGGCCTCGTCTGCCCCAGAGGAGACACAGCACTCAATACCACCAGAAAGCTTTCATACGTAAATCCCCCAGATCATGATTTTTTGTGAACTTGAGCAATACGAGTGAGATTGTTTTTACATTCATATAAATAGGCATATTGTGATGAGTGACGAAGCGCAGGTGGCGTGCTCCAATAATCTGCCATATCTCATTTCTCCCTCCTTCAGCGGCATTGAGATGATTCAGGAGGCCGCTCTTATGTGGCGAGGGCTCACTGTCATAAATGTCTCATTTCCATAATAAAAGTCTCTGACATGCAATATAACCTAGTGCAGTGGAGGCAAAGAAGATGATGGTTTCATAAATTTGAGTGGCAGGCTGTGCAACTGGTGGACCATGCTCGGTCAACTGAATCACATTGACCCTTGCCTTGTGCGGGATGAGAATACCGTGATGTTATTGATGCTTGTGTGACAAGCACCTGCGGCGAGCTAGCAAGACAGAATAAAGGTTAAAATCTTTTTTTTTTTTTTTTCTTTCCAGACTGTGTAAAATAATCAACCATACTATCAAGTTCTACATTATATTGATCTAAACTATTTGCAAATGGTCAGTTAATGATTTTGAGGCAAATGAAAGCAGCAAAGTCGTCCCTAAGTAGTTCCCTACTCAGCTACAGTCACTAATCCAGGGAGCTCATTTTTGTGTTTACTTTCGGTTGGACAAGATTTGAGAGGTTTATCTAAAACTGAAGTTTATCTGAAAGCTTTAGGAGGCTTTCTTGCTCTGATGCATCGTTTTGCTGGAGTTTGCATTTCCCTGACTCTCCTCAACAACGGTGGCAAGTGCAAATTTAACATCTCCCATTGTTAGCTAACTTCTCCCAGGTTAAAAAAAATGACAGAGTTTCTCTTTTAAGGTCCAGTGTGTAACATTTAGGAGGATCTTGTATCAAAAATGGAATAGAATATTCATAGGTATGTTTTCATCAGTGTGTTTTTATTACTTTATAATGAGATGTTTTTATCTACAGACGCTGTGGTCTGCCTTCCAAGGAAGCCGCCATGTTGAACCACCATGTTTCTACAGTATCCCAGAACAGGCCCTGTACATTTTTCCTGAGTTTTGCAGCCACCGTTGTTTGTCCTACATATTTTACAGTCCGTTCTCATTCAAAGATCATCTAACAC